CGAGGGTGCGGTGGCCAGGAGCAGCCACTGCACTCCAGTCTGGGCAACAGAGTGAGACTCCAACTCAAAAGAAAAAAAAAAATTATTTAACCTTCAAGGAGGTAATTTTTCACTTTGAAAATTCAGGGATTGAACTATAGGCAAATTGCTGTAATATAGATGTTTGGGCCTCTAGTCTGATTACAAATCCCTTTATGACTACAGAATTAAAATGTTTTTAATTTAATTTTTTTTAAGATGGTGTCTCACTGTGTTGCCCAGGCTAATCTCGAACTCCTAGGCTCAAGCAAACCTCCCACTTCAGCCTTCCAAAGTGCTGAATCACAGGCATGAGCCACCATGCCAAGCAGAATTAATTAAAAAAAAAAATCTGGCTAAGACAGATGATTTGTCAGAAAAATTCAACTGCAAACAGAAGTATGTATGTTTTAGTTTGTTCCTTAGTGCTTTTTTTGGCAGGAAGGCCAAGATTTAGCAGCTTTTATGCTGCCCCAATGAAAATACTGAGTAATCTCACTGCTTACCTCTTGGTAACCAGGTGTCGATCCTTCATTTCTGAGCGTTCAAACCAGACGTGTGGACACGCCTTGACCATAGCTCTCTGAATAATTCCCATCAACCCACCATGGACCTGGCCAACCTAGAAGTACCATGAGAAAATGAGAAATGTATAAAGGCACAGCTGCCCAAATAAAGTTTTTTTACGTACCAATAGATTCCTGTTCCCCACTTGGAGACAATACTGGCCTTCTACTGACCGAAGGTCTTAGTCTGATCAGAGGACTTGAACCGCCAAATGTAAGCAAAAGATATTCTTGAGTAGCACCTTTGAATTGTAAGTTATGTTGCTGCACTAACTACCATCCAACTTTAAAAAGTAGAAGTCCGCTAGTGCAGTGGCTCACACCTGTCATCCTAGCACTCTGGGAGGTGGAAAAGAGAATTGCCTGAGCCCAGAAGTTTGAGACCAGCCTGGGCAACATGATGAGACTTCATCTCTACAATAAATCAAAAAAGTAGCTGGGCGTGGTGATGCACACCTGTGGTTCCAGGTACTTGGAAGGCTGAGGCAGAAGGATCACCTGAGCCCAGCAGGTCGAGGCTGCAGTAGCCATGAACATGCCACTGCACTCCAGCCTGGGCAACAGGCTGACTCAAAAAAAAAAAAAAAAGTAGAAGTCCTTTAACTTAGTCAAGATTAAAGAAATGAAAATTTAAACTACACAGAAATAGTACACCGAAACCCATCAGATTGACAAAGATGTAAGAGTTTGGCAGTACATGTCGATGTAAGGCTGTGGGAAGCAGGCACTCTCACACACCGCTTGGGGGGAAAGAGAGAGGGTTACCACACCAATGGGAGGAAACCTAACATCTATCAAAATTACATTTACATTTATCCTTTATCTCAATAATTCCTCCTCCAGGAATTAACCCTGAAGATATACCTCCAACAAAATGAAAATACATATGCAAAAGGCTATTAATTACAGTATTAATAGCTATTGTAAAATATTAGAAATGACCTAAATGTTCAAATACAGGAAATTAGATGAGTAGACAATGACACATACATATAATGGAGTACTATGTAGCTGGGAACAGAACAAGGTCGATCTCTACAATTGATAAAGGGGTCAATTCCAGGAGATATTGTTAAATGAAAAAGGCAAAAGAACAAATATAGTCTGCTACCTTTTGTGTAAGACTAAAGAGGAAATAATACATATGCTTATCTCTACAAAATGAAGAGCAGAGAAAATAACCAAAACCAGTTGGGAACCTACAAGAGTAGGAAGGAATGGGCTAGAATGAACGCAGAAGAAAACGCCACTCCTAATAAGGCGTGGTGGCTCACGCTTGTAATCCCAGAACTTTGGGAGGCTGAGGCAAGAAGAATGCCTGAGCCTAGAGGTTCGAGACCAGCCTGGGCAACATGGTGAGACCTCATCTCTACAATAAATCAAAAAATTAGCCAGGCGTGGTGGCACACACCTGTAGTTTCAGCTTCTTGGAAGGCTGAAGCGGAAGGATCACCTGAGTCCAGCAGGTCAAGGCTGTGGTGGCCATGAGTGTGCCACTGCACTCCAGCCTGGGCAACAGAGTGAGACTCCAACTCAAAAAATAAAAAGAAAGAAAACGCCATTCCTATGAGTAATACCTTCTTTGTTTAGTTTTGACATTTGGAAGGATATGGCTATCCTACATGTTCAAAAAATAAATTAAATTAAATCAACAAGGGAGGAATAATAAACAGAAATTGAGGCAAAGCAAACGAACCCAACTGTATTTCAGATGAATAAAAGATCTGAAAGGAAGGAGAAACACCAAGAAATGTTCAAAGATGGTATTTAACACTCCCCATCTTGGATGGGGTAGCAAGAACTGAAAAACATCTTGAACTCTTTGTAGCACATTATTTGGGGGGGGTAATAAAAGGTGAAGCAATTCTGAAACACTTTTAGATGTCTTAATATTATAGAAGTGAGAAAATGAGTAAATATGTTGATATTGTTGGAAAATAGAATTTTCACTGTAAAAAGGGAGATACAAATACGGATTGGGGGAAAGCAAGAAAGAACCTTATGAGTGCCGGGCTCGGTGGCTCAGCCTGTAATCTCGCACCTTTGGGAGGCTGAGGTGAGTGAGTTGCCTGAGCCCGGGGGTTCGAGACCCGCCTGGGCAGTGAGACCTCATCTCTACAAAAAAATCAGCCGGGCGTGGTAGCGCATGCCTGTAATTCCAGCTACTCGGAAGGCTG